GAAAGGATTCCCATTTTATTGATTTATTTAAGCATCTCTCCTGACTGCACGAAAATGTGATGAGTCAAAAAAGTTATTTTTCGGAAATGTATTGTAACGATTGGCTATTATGGTATATAATAAATGCTGTTTATTTGTTTTCAAATATCATTTTGTTTAGTTTTTTGGACGTATCAAAGATTTTTTTTATTGATTTATTTATTAAATATAAACATTAATAAGACTTTTGATAACTGTAAGTTTTTTTACGAAAGTAATAAACATTTTTAATATTCTTCCAAATTTATCAAAAAGTGTAAAAAAATATCAAATAATTGAATAAAGCTAAATAAAGTCAACTTTTTTTATTTTATACACTGAAACCTATTTTCATCAGGTTCCTGAAGAATCCATGTAAACAGTGTATATGAAAAATTAGAAGATTGAATTGAAACATCGAAAAGAAGTATAACTGTGTTATTTTCAAATCGTGTAGAAATAATCCTTGTAAAAACAGATTTAATAAGGGTATAAAAATATCAAAGAGGAACAATTTTTGGTTATTTATTCAAATAATTATTTATTTTAGTTTTGTATAATTTCTGAAACTCATTGTATTAAAAAAAATTGTTAATTACAATTGAAAATTAATTAAAACATTGTATATTAATATGAAAAACCTTCTAATAATAACGTTTATTGCAACAAATTAAAACTCAACAGAATAAAACAATAAGAAAATTAAAAGCAAAAAGATTTGTTGCAAAGGTAAAATCATCTATTTAATAATATTTTAACTTATGTGATTGAGAATATGAATATTTGAACTATTTTATATGTGAAATAATAAACATTTTAATTATAAAAAATCGCAATAAATTGATATATTCCTATAATTGAAAAGGTGTAATAATATAATTGATAATAATGCATATTTGTTTTATTGAAAATACCTTGTTTTCAAAATTTTAAGCTAAATATTTTTGATACTTAGAACGGTATGCGGCCTGCGGATCGTACTTTGCAGCAAGAGCATTAAAATCAGCCCTTCTGTACTTCACCAGGTGTCTGATGACCTTCTCGATGGACGTCCTTTGGGTTGGGCTGCATTTGCTGCAATCGGTTATGAGAGCATCTGGCACGACTTCCTTAAGGGTCTTTCCCTCCTCGTTGCATCTTCCCTTATCCAGAAGACAGTTCAGGTAATTATTCAGCAGCCTCGTGTTTCCCAATATGCCGTCCACGTTGATTGCATCGTATTTCGTTGTGTAGGAGTTCTGCGCAGACACCAGAACCGAAGCGATCAGCAGGAAGAACAAAGTTGCGTGTCTCATGACGGTAATCTTGGGAAAAATGAAAATGTTTGCACCGACCACTTATTACTTCGCAGATATATATATAGAGATACATGTGAACGCGGTACGGTGATTAATGGAAAGACCTCAGCTAAAAATTTTTCCTTTCCAATTTCATTTACACCTCTCACACAATGCACACATTAAAAACGCATTTGGAAAACTCGAGCGGGAACATTAACAGCCTTTCGGACGTGCATTAATCACATCTAAACTTTCAACTAGTCCTGAATTATTAACAACAACACCGTCGGACCGTGCAAGGAAACGAAGGATAAAAAAAATATGAAAAGGGAAAACTTAAGGGCGAAACGGCACGTATAAAAATTCATGTCCCGTTCCAATTATTTGGCGTTTAAGGGGAAAATGCATACATTAAAGTAATAAGGGAAATATAATATATATACAAGTATATATATATAGCTAAAGATCGTTAACGAACTAGTTGTAAATTCGGTTGAGTCAAGGTTTTTCCACAAATTATTCATTTCAAATGTACGACTGTATTATTTTATCTTGACTAGACTATAAAATGTAATTGTTTAAATGAAATTTATTATGTTTACTCTAGCGAAAGGGCAACGACCTATTGTCCTTACTTTATAACATAATCTTGATTACTTTGGTACCATTTTCTCCTCAAATATTTAACATAATTATATTATCAAGAAAATAACGAGAAAACTACTTCATCTACAAAAAGATTATTGTTTAATCTTATTTAAATTCGCAATTTTCTTACTCATTTAACGCTTCAGAAGATTTTTTTAAATATTGTAGTAAGAAGAAATAACAATAAAATAATTTAATTTTGTACTCAAAATTTATTTTTAACAATTTTTATAATAACATTAAGATATTTCATATTTTCTATCAAACATTACAGTTTTAGATAGGTTTTATTGTAAATATTAAATCAATTTGTAATATAAACAAATACATACGATAAATATGCACAGCAAAAACTTTGCATAGTACGGCTTCAATCAGTCCAGTTTCACTATAGTCCGGTTTGAAATTTTAAAACAAACTAAATTTCAATTTAGTAAAACAAAAATAAATTTTAAAATAATATTTTTGAAATGATCGATTTAGCAGAATCAAGTCTTACGGTTTATTTTTTTATTTATTATTTTTTCGAGTCTCGTTTCAAACAGTCCGCGATATTTGTGAATTACTCGTACTATGCGAGATTAACTGTATTTAAAAAAATAAATAGAATTAGATCTAAATTTAAGAGACTAATTAAATTTCATATACAGTTGTTAATTATTCATTATATTTTATGATGCCATTAAAAGCANNNTTCGACGTTCGAAATATATTGCGTCCATAGTTATTATTTACTGTGTATCCAGTAATGCGAGTTTTTTCTCATGCGTTTCGTAAAATTAACGTGACCTAAATTTGTAGCATGTAGAAACAAGATTGATTCCTTCCTCCTTTTCAGTAGACAAAAATAATGATTTATTTATATTTTATTCAATTTTACCCATGCGCACTTTTTACAAATATGACAAATAAAAAGAATCGGTCAATTTTTATTTACTTCAAAATCAAAGAGATTTATTGAAATAGTTTGTTTGATATAAGTTTGACGAATTCACAGATAGTACATTTTGTAGTAAATGATTAGTGTACAAATCATTAGTGTGTTTGATGTTGAAATAAAAATGGTATTTTTTTATGTTTTATAAATTCCGTAAAAGTTTGAATATTGGTTAAAATATATTAGTCCGGGTAATCAGTTCAATTAAATTGAAATATGTATTGTCTGCATAAAGATAAACAGCACAAAAAGAGACATGATAGAAATAATAATCAATCAAATTTATTTTGCTCATTTAAAATTTAGTTTGTTTTCAAATTCTTCAAACCGGGCTACAGTAAAGTAGGATTATGCGAGATATTGAATGAGATTTCCTATTATGTCAAATTATATAACCGAATCATCTTAGTTATAAGACAAAACACATGCAAGTTGTGTAGTGTTTGAAATAAAATACTAATTGTGATAGTAATTTTCAGAAAAGGCCGAAACTACTAGTTTTATTAATGTAAAACCATTTGAAACTCGTTATTATTCTGTACGATAACATAAACTTAATGCAGATTATAATTGATTAATAGTACTTAATCACCTTCATTAACATGTCCGGATTAACTATAAATCATATAGAATCAATAAGACAAATCTAAGCCTATTTTACATGCAGAAATTAGCTGCACTATTTAATATTTATTTAAGGAATATATAGACAGAATGATTTAGGATTTTTATAGCTAAATTTACTTTGATCAAAAACCAATATGAAATCAATTGATTACGTTTAAAATTGAATATTTGTGTTTATAACAAATTATTTAAAGAATTAAATATTTTATGCAGATTTTCTTGTAATGTATTCAATTAATATTGCATATTTTGTGATTACAAATTTGTTGTTGTGTGTAGTTTAGGTGCTTCATTAAGTATAATTTTTCTAAAAATACATCCAAATTTTCCTAACGCAAACAAATCAATATTACCTTCACCTTGAAATATATATAAATGTTCATTAGTAATAAATCTACACCAATTAACTAAAAAAAAGAAGATTAATTTCAAACTTTCAAGGTAAAATAATATAAAAAGGAAAGGAATAATATAAAGGAATGAGAGAAAATTAGAATGACTAGAAATCTATTGGTGAGGAGTAAACAAAGTCACAAAACGTGTCTGACTTAAATTTGTATGTTCACGCAAGTACATCTACATTCAAATCATTTAATAAATTTAATAAAATATAAAATTTTCCAACAAATAATGAACAAAAAATGAAATATAGTTAATTAAAAATATATTACTATACAAACAAAATAGTATTTTAAATGTTTTGTATTGAGTGTGAGAGATTATAATACACACTCTATATGATATAAAGTATTAATGAATGAAAAAAAAAGTGTATATTCATTGCTCTAGGTTAAAGGTCGCAAAAAATTAACGTATTTAACCTTTAAATTATTTATATTTTGAATTCTGAAATTATATATAAATAATAATTGTTAGCTTCTATACAAGTTTATCAAACTCGAGTAAAATTATTGATTATTCTAAAGGAATAGATTGTAAATATAATATGATGACATAATGAAAAAATATGATAGAACATAATGTGTAATTCAGATATATCAGTCTGACAATTGTATTGATTTTACATAACGTGATCACGAAAGATTAAACTACATATTGCATTTCCGTCGGTGGTTAAAACCTTGATCGAGTAAGAAAGATTTCCTCGAAAATTGGGGGCGAAGTACAAATGGTGCGGAATGAGATTGAAGAAAATTTGTTTAAACTGATAGAGAGAATGAGAGTCGAGAAGCGAGAGATAAAAATTGAAATATGCGAGTCACAAATGTAGAGGGGCGAAACTTTCAGAAAATTCGCGTTTCTCTTTCCACTCACCATTAAATGCATACACATTTCGTACTTTTCGTTTTTGGTTCTTAACGCCGCCTTTTTCTATCAGCATTGCCTGTCTGACGCCCGTCTTATTTTTTTTTCTGTTGTTGTTGATGTTGTTGTTGTTTTTTATTTTCTCGTGCTGAATTATTTAGTTTCTGCTATCTGACGAAACATAAATTTTTCGCTATTATTTACGGCGGCACAAATTGATGCAATGAAATGCAGTTCGTAACAGGTTCTATTTGCATATTAAGGCGCCATTCTGATCTTTATGATTACCCACACACATGAATAAATTTCTGAAAAGGAACGCCAACGTAGGCTTTGTGTATGTATGTACGGTATAAGAGAACAGATATCACTCTGCTCGGTATTTGCTCTTTCGTTTTGCTCGATTTTCGTCGGCCGTTTTCTTTCTCTCCGGATTCATTAAAATTGATTTATTCGCCAACCCCCAATTTCGACGGGCCAATTAATTCCTTATAAACATTTCGGTGAAAGCCTTGTTTCTTTTTGCCTTTGTCGGTCGGATCTTAAGCCTCTTAGAGAAACAAAAGGTGTTCAATTCCGAACGACGTATTTATTGGGTTCTACAGATTTACATGCAGACTAATTAGATCATTTTTTCTACTCTACTCTTTCTCATTCTAATATAAATAATTTCTCTTGACTTATGTCTCTTACAATATATACAATATACATTGATGAGCATTAATTTTTAAAGGTATTATTAATTGAATCATTTTTTTTTTGTTTGTCAGATTTTTTTAAAGGATATTTTCATAAGCTGTAAGAAAACATTGTATTTTTAATAAAAAGAAAAAAGCAATTATAATATTTCACCAAGGACGAAGAATAAGCAAAAAAAAGGTATCCGCAGAAATTTCAATTATTATCCTTCATCTTCCTCTTCTTCAATTTCTCTCGACAGCCCGACAAAAGTTTTGTTCACTTGTTCGCACGAGACGGCACCGACCCCGACACTTGCGCTCCCTGTATTTTTCCATCTTCCCCCATTCATAAATATTTCTTCGAGGCCCTTTTTAATCATCGGCCCACCATTTTTTTTCACTCCATCCTCTTCGTCCTATTATTGCTCCGTTGTTATTCCGCATTATTGGGAGCAGTTTTCTCTGTGAGGGACAACCTCATTATGCATTTATTTCGTCTGCGAATATCCAATTTCTCGGGAGTCGAATTCAATCTGGGATCGAAGAGGATTTGCAAGCCACTTGATCGGATCCGACCAATCTCTTTCGCATTCATTTTTATTTATTTCAATTACTCGCATCCATTGTTGTCCGTATGTTTTATCATTGCCATCATCGTGGTACGCATATTTCTGGTATCGATGATGGCAGACGTCTGTATATATGCACGCATACCTTTTGTCCTGCGTCTGGTGAAAGCGAATCTCTAATAGAATATTGAAATTTCTCTTTGGGTGCGTTTGTCAGGACGTAATATATCAATTACACGGTAGGCCCTAAACAATGTGCAACAATTAATGCCCTGCGAATGTATGCGATCTGTTAATGTCAGCGACAATGGGTACAGTTGTCCTGCGTGTGCGTGGGCCTGCGCTTGCCGAAGACATTGCCAGGATTGCGAAGGGTTCGCTGCTCCAACGCTACATCCCCTCTGTCACTCGCACACTGGATGAGCATAAATTTTCAAACTTAGTTGTTGTTAAAGTGTTACCACCAGATGGAACAAATCCGCCGTGAGAATTATTATTATTATTGTTGTCGTCGTTATGAAATATAAAATCAACAACTTCCCGAAAGTTTACAAAACATCCCGTATTTATGCCTTTCGGGGTCCCCGCCATACGGATAAACATAGAATTTAAATCATAAACTCTTCTTTATTTTCTCTCAGCGGTGTCTGCGTTCTTTCACTGCGTCTCACGGACATAAAATTTTACAGAAATACAATACAAGGATGTAAAATATTTTTATTAACGAACATTTCGAGAAGTAGCAACAGTAAAGCAACTGACAAAAGCCGACACATGAATGGGTAACAATTTCAAACATATCAAACTTTTGATGTTAAATGTAAATATTTTGGGTCTATATCGCAAGCCCGACAAACCGAAATACGGTCTATCGAAATCCCGACGTTTGAAATCCCGATTGTATCAGAATCTCGACAACCATAATCCGGCTGGCATCGATTATCTACGATTTCTTAACTCTTTTAAATCTCATATCATTACACTACTACTACACTACTACTACTACTACACTACTACTACACTACTACTACACTACTAC